CTGCTTTGATGGCTGCTGCTGCCGTGTTTTTTCATCATTCAAGAATATATTTTTTTGCCTTTCAGCTGGGGTTACGTGCCGTTAAAAGGCGCAACGAAGTCGTCGCCCGCTGCAGATTATAAAGACTTTCTAGCCGTCGAGCATCTCAATTTGCAGGCTTCCTATTCCAATTGGCAGCCAGCCGTGTGTGGTGCGCGGCAAGGCCCACGCCCAGGCCCAGGCCCACGCCCACGCCCAGGCCCAGGCCCATGCCAATTGCTGGGCCGCAATGCACTCGACGGCGAAGCCTCATAAATACCGAATTAGTTGGTAATTCTATAAGCAACACGCGCCCATTGATGGATTGGCTGGGCAGCCAGGGCCGCTCGCTCGAACCGCTCGAACCGCTCGAATCGCTCGAGTCGTGGGCGCGTGCTAGATAGATAGATATGAGAAGGCACGAGCGGCAAATTGTATCTGCGAGATACACGCAAGTCGATGCGATGCGCATCCATCGGCTGCGATTGCGGCCGTCGATTTGTGGCACGTGCCGCTGGCTCCGCATGCGACAATTAGCCGCAAATGGCAAATGAATTTTCACATTTAATTATCATAATTAATATGGAGAAAAATGCGATGAAAAGCTGAGATGGAATTTTCATCAACTGGCAAAGGCAAAGGCAATTTGAAAGGGCCCGGGCAAGGATTAACTGAACATATTATATATATATATATATATATATATATATATATATATATATATATATATATATATATATATATATAAATATATTGACGTTCATTAACAGAGATGGGCGTGGCAACTACGACGGTTTATGATCTGAATTAATGGCTTATGCTGTCGATGGCCGCCAGCTTCGCTGACTTTGCAAAAGTGGGCAAATAAAAATAAAAATTAATAAATAAATATCAGTAAAGACGGCTCGCCCTGTTGTCCAGTTGCTGCTCCGAGGAGTCGCCGATCCAGTCGCATAATCCCAACAGAAGCCGCCGATCGAACGGCGTTCCACACAGTTCATGCCAAGGGTCGCGTGCCCTGGAACTGTTCTCATTCTCTCTCTCTCATTCTATTCTTATTCGCCCCCTTCTTTCCCGCATAGCTGAACAGCACAGCCGATCAGTTACTCTCTATCTTCTGTCGACTGAGAGAGTAGCTTGTGAATACCCAAGATCAGGAGAGCGAGTAAGTTGTACGACTTCTAGACAGTTGAAGTGAAGCAAAGACCTTGTTGAATATCCTAACCAAAGTCCTCTTGTCCTGGTAGTCTCTACTAGCCTTTAGTAGCCTCTGGTAGCCTCTGCTAGGTAGGTAGGTAGTCTTTGCTAGTCACTGACAGCCTCTGATAGCCTCTGGTAGCCTATCCTCTGTATCCTCTCCTCTCCTCTGATACACTCTGGTAGCCTCTGATACCCTATGGTAGCCTCTGGTACCCCATGGTAGACTCCAGTAGTCTCTGGTAGTAGTAATAGTAGTATACTCTGGTAGCCTTGAGTAGCCTCTGGTAGACTATGGTAGCCTATGGTAGTCCCCGCCAGCCGTGGGTAGTCTTTGCTAGCCTTGACTAGCCTCTGGTAGCCTATCCTCTGTATCCTATCCTCTGATACACTCTTGTAGCCTCTGATACCCTATAGTAGCTTCTGGTAGCCTCTGCTAGGTAGGTAGGTAGTCTTTGCTAGCCACTGACAGCCTCTAATAGCCTCTGGTAGCCTATCCTCTGTATCCTCTCCTCTCCTCTGATACACTCTGGTAGCCTCTGATACCCTATGGTAGCCTCTGGTACCCCATGGTAGACTCTAGTAGTCTCTGGTAGTAGTAATAGTAGTATACTCTGGTAGCCTTGAGTAGCCTCTGGTAGACTATGGTAGCCTATGGTAGTCTCCGCCAGCCTTGGGTAGTCTTTGCTAGCCTTGACTAGCCTCTGATAGCCTCTGGTAACCTCTGGTAGCCTATGGTACCCTCTGGTAGCCTCTGATATCTTATGGCAGCCTCTGGTACCCCATGGTCGCTTCTAGTAGTCTTTGGTAGTAGTAATATTAGTAGCCTCTGGTACCCTCTGGTAGCCTATGGTACCCTCTGGTAGCCTCTGATATCTTATGGCAGCCTCTGGTACCCCATGGTCGCTTCTAGTAGTCTTTGGTAGTAGTAATATTAGTAGCCTCTGGTACCCTCTGGTAGCCTTTGATATCCCATGGTAGCTCTAGTAGACTCTGGTTGCCTTAAGTAGCCTCTGGCAACATAAGCGAATTTCTATTTGATCTGATTTGCCACACCCCTAGTGGGCGGATGTCACTTTCCAAATTGAGGCTATACACGAGTAAATGTTCCAAATTTCAAGTTTCCAACTTCAATGATTGGGAAATGGTTTCCATTCAGACGGACAAACGGATTAGCAGCGAGAAGAATATTCAACCCAACCAATATACCCATTTCAGCTTGTATGAAATGAGTGTTATAAGAGAAAAGATATGTATTTTGTTGTTTTTTTTTTTTTTTTTTTTTGGTTTTTTTTTTATATATATATTATTCATCTGATCATAGTTTTGTGAACTTTTTACAATTATTTTAGTTAATAATTAAAAAAAAAGAATTAACCAGTTTACTTAAATGTTAGCACATTTATATATATGTATATATAAATATATATATATACAAATATATAAATATGTATATATATTTGCTTCAATATATGTTAAATATAATATAAATCGATGTATATATATATGGATGTGTCTATATATATATATATATATATATATATATATATATATATATATATGTATATATATGGATACTCACAAACACAAACATATACATATACATTTACATATATATGTATACATATATGTATTTATAGTTATATATATAATTATATCCACTTAAATATTATCAACTAATTTTGTATGATCTTCGATTTGTTTTTGTTTTTATTTTTGTTTTTCATTTCGACTTTGCTTAAAATTTATTTGCAAAAAAAATTTCCTTATATTTTAATTACTTTCTAGATGTTTTTTGTTTCTTTCTATTTATAGCGTAATATTGTTTAAGTGTGTGTGTGTGTGTGTCTGTGTATGTATGTACGTGTCTCTGTGTGTGGGTGTGTGTTTTTCAAACAAAATGTATACGCTTAATTTTACAATTAAATTGAACTTAGAACTAAACAAAAAATTAAATTAATTTATTAAAAAAAAAAAAAAAAATTTTATATCTCATCATCAAGCACATTGAACTAAATATATATATATATTAGATGTGTGTGAGTGTATGTATATATATATATTTATATATAGATATATATGTACATATATGTGTGTGTGTGTATGTGTTTGAAAATATTATTACTATGTGTATTATTTTATAACATTAGAAACGATAGAGATTTTCATTGTTGTTAGCATATTGTATTATGAACATATACACACATACATATGTTTATATATATATATACATATATATATATATATTTTTTTTTTTTTAATATGTTCAAAAGATGTTTGACTTTAATTGTATTTTCTTTTCAATTGTATTTGTTTATAGTTTTGTACATTTTTTAAAATTTTTTTTTTTTATATTATAAATATGTTTTGTTTTTTCGCTTCATTTTGGATTGTGGCATTTTCTTTTTTCAATTATGTTTTTAAATTGATATATACATATGTATATATACATACACATATAGACATTATAAAGTCATTGTTATTCCGATTTAGTTTCTTAAGTTCTAATACTTTTTTTGCTTTGCTTTGAAAGTCTGAAATGTGAATTCATTTTGAAGGTGTTTTTTTTTTCGATTTAAGTTCTCGCTTTTGTTTTTCTTCTGTTTATAATAATATTCACTCTATATGTATATATATTTCAATTTAAATATGTTTTATATAAAGACGACAAAATGATGCTTTGAACTTTTAAACTTGATGTCACAATGAAATGCATTTCAATATATTTACAATATATATATTTATTTATTTTTTATTTTTTTTTAAACTTGTTTTCTTTTTGTTTTTCGTGTTAGCTATGAAATGTGATGTTTCTTTATATATAATTTAATTCTATTATTATTATTATTTTTTTTTTTTAAGAACTGTGTACTATATATATGTTCATTAAAACTTCTATTTCTGATATGAGTAGCTGGCCAAGCGGGGCTCTGGAAAACTCTTCGACTCCACTAACTGATAGCTAAAGAAAATTGGAAAACTTTTGTACAAATCGAATGGGAAAAGCGAAACTTATTTGGCAGACTTCGGCGCCCCGCTTTTCGAGCCAGCAAAATATTTCACACGCATCTCTCTCTCTCTCTCTAAATATATTGCATCGTTTATCTCCATATCGATTTCGATCTTGATATCGATCTCGATTTCGATTTATATTTTAATTTTAATTTTTACTCGCTTAAAAATTAACGCGAGTTTCAACAAATGTTATTTTTTTTTTTTTTTTTAGTTTTTCAAGTTTTTGTTGTTTTTTTTTTTAGTTTTTTCTTTTTGTTCTTAGTTTATCACTCATTTACTTCGTTGATCCTGGCGGCTTAAGCTATTATGTATATGTACACAAATATATATATATATATTTATATATATATAGTTCTATATATATATATATAGATCATACATACATATGTATTGCGTGCGCTAATTGTAATACACACACAGAGCAGTATTAAAAGTAAAAAAAAAGTATTAACTAGCAAAAAAAAAAAAAAAATTAAAAAAAAAATGTATATATAAATTTTTGTTAAGAGAATGCAGCGCCCGTCGGTGAGTGGGAGTGGGGGAGGGAGAGGGAAAGGGAGAGGGAGAGGAAGAGATATGTATGTGAGGAGGCAACTAGCCATAGCTGGCATGCTCATGTCCATGCTCCTGTGCCATATCCTGGTGTTGATCCTGCTGCTGCTCATGTTGCTGCTGCTGGTGATGTTGCTGCTGCTGCTGCTGCTGCTGCTGCTGCTGCTGCTGCTGTTGCTGGTAGCTCGGCAGCTGCAACTGCAACTGCGACTGCGACTGCGACTGTGGCTGAGGCGAGCGTCCGCTGCTGGCGCTGCTCCCGCCGCTGCCGCCGGAGCTGCTGCAGTACTGGAACAGCAGATTCTACACCATGTTCGCATACTTATCCTGCGGCGACATGTAGTCGAGGCTGTTCTGTGAAAAGGCCTGCGCGGAGACGGTGCCGGTGAACGACGGCGACGGCGACAGGCCAAAGTTGGAGGCCGTGTAGCCCGAGTGGCCCATGTTGTAGTTGACCTGGTTCTGATTGCTGAAGTACTCCATCTGCGAGTAGTAGCTGGGCGCCTGGGCGTAGTTGTTCGGGTACTGCTGGTACTGGTTGTGCCAGAAGTTGTACGAGTCGTGGTTGGACATGTACGCCGAGTGGGCCGAGTGGTGGGCCGACGCCGATTGCGCGGATTGGGCCGCGTGCGCCGCCGCCGCCGCCGACTGTGGCGACATGGGCGTTATGGGCGGAGAGGGTGTTGTGATGCTGCTGCTGCTGTCCATGGGCGTGATGTTGCCGCCCGGCTGCAGCAGCCGCGGATTGCTGGCCGCCGCCGTGCCATAGATGCTATGATGATGATGTGCACCCGCGCCAATGTCGCCGCCCGCATCCTTCAGCGTGTCGTACGGCGAGCGCAGCGCATCGCCCGACACGCCCACGCCCACACCGACGCCGACACCAACGCCGCCCACACCGACACCAGACCCGTTGCCGCCCACACCGCCGCTGCCGTAGCCGCCGCCCAGATGCTCCTTCTTGCACACAATGCTCACCGGGCTGACCGACGTGGCCGGCGTGGGCAGCAGCGGCGAGGAGTTCTGATGCGCTGCGGTCACGTTCAGTGCCGCCGCCGCGGCCGCCGCTGAGATGTGCGCATGCGAGTTGCCGGCACCGCCGCCGCCGCCGCCGCCTCCTCCTCCGCCGCCGCCGCCGCCGTGGCTGCCGCTGCTGCTGCTGGGCGTTGAGCCGCCGCCGTTGTTATTGTTGTTGTTGTTGTTGTTGGCACCGCCGGCGCCCGCATTGAGGAAGGAACTGTGATGTGACTTGATGGACTGCGCCGCCGCAACAGCCGCAGCGCTGACCGCGGCCGCCGCTGAGCTGCTCGCATTGCCGCTGGCGTTGCTCGAGCTGCTCTGGCCGGAGCCGGTCTGCTTCTGGTTCGATTTGTTGGCGCTGTTGTTGCCGCTGTTGTTGTTGTTGCTGCTGTTGGAGCTGTTGTTGTTGCTGCTGCTGTTGTTATTGCTGTTGTTGCGGCCGCCGTTGCCCGAGCTGCTGCAGCTGCCGCTGCCACTGCCATTCTTGGAGCTGCTCAAACTGTTGGACTGCTGCTGCTGCTGCAGCTGCTGGCGGCACTTGGCCCGTCGGTTCTTGAACCAAACCTATAACGGAAGAAGAGCAAAATGAGGAAAAAGACATTAATACGTGTTGTATAAACAGAAGCTATGATGAAATTGAGCAAGAGTTGGGAAAGGATGAGCAATGCTTGATTCGACAGGGTGCTCTATGAGTTTGAGAAATGTTTAGTCAGTGAGAGAGACTATTCGTTAACATATATATCTTATATATGATACAAGAAGAAGACGTAAACAAGTGTTGTATAAACATTTGTGAAGATAGAGAGGATGAGCAGTGCTTGATTTGAAAGGATTTTCTGTGACTATGAGAAATGCTTAACAAATCTGTTAGAGGGAAAAAACTAAAGTATGTATAGATCTTTAATGTATATATTGCATCATATGTAAACATAAATAGCAATTAAAGCAATGGATCATAAGTTATAAGGGTTGAGCCTGAAAGGGTTTTCTCTGAATCTATGATCAGGGTAACTTGTTCCTTGATAAGCTTGCCTGCTTTAAAAGCTATGTATTAGAGAGGAAAATCTATAGGCTTTATATGTATTATACTTGTATAAGATTTGTAGAAAAAAAAAAAATATATATATATATATATATATGTACTATATACATAATCTTAAGAGAATCCCAAATGAATGTATATTCATATGAAAAATTCCTATATATCTATACATTTATTAATCTGTATATAGCTAGACAGACGCATATATTCATATCCACATATAGATACATATATTCATTTGGGATTCCCTTATGAATGCATAAACTGCTCTACCATATTCCATCAGATCTCCCATAGTTCCCAACTATTTGCTCTAATTTATTTGCGATATTCAAGCATTTCAATTCAGAGTTCTATATGTCTATATGCATGAATGCATATATGTATGTATTTGCCATTAAACTTTAAGTGTAATGGCATTAAAAATCAATAGCTCAAGTATCAAATTGTCACGTGCTGGACGGCAAGTATTTGCTTAGTCAAGTGCGAGCGTCTGTCTCTGTCTCTCTCTCTCTCTCTCTCTCTCTGTGTGTGTGTGTGTTTGCCAGCGGCTGCAATTTTCCCACATCAATTAGTTTGCCGGGCTGACAATGAATAAATTATGTGAGCCGAATGGCAACGGGGCGTGGCAGACGACCCACAACTCAAAACAACAAGTGCAAAAAGTCACGCGCTGCCGCCGGCCCAGAAAGCAACCAAAAAAATAAATAAATAGGAAAAAGTTACATCAACAGCCGACGGCGACGGCGACGGCGACGATGATGGGCTCGAGAGTCGAGTCCGAAAATTGACTCGATTAAGTTTGTACGTCGCCCGGGCGATATGCGACCACATGCCGCAGCCCGAAGACAACAATAAACAGCCCATAAAGCGGCACAGTCGAGCGCAAGGAATTCACTTAGCCTTGTTTGTTATGCTTAAGGGGCTGCAAACAATCCGCTAAGTGCAGGCGGCAGCACCCGGAACCCCAGGCTCAACCCCCGACCCCCAGAGCTCTCAGCTCTCAGCTCTCAGCTCTCAGCTCTCAACTCTCAGTTCTCAGCTCTTGGCTCTCTCATCTCTCATCTCTTGTCTCGAGCCCAATCCAGTTGAGCCCAAATGTTGTTTCAGTGATTTGTTATTTGGGGTTGGTGTTGCTTGCTAATGGCTTGTGCTTTGGTAAACAGCAGAATTTATTACCGTACCGACATAACCACCGCCTCGCCAACGGTACTCCCCACCCTCCCCTCCCCACGACACGCCCTCCCCATCCATCCATCCATGCTTGATGGCATATTTCCCAAAGTTAACACTTGCCACGCGGCGGCTGTGGCCACTCGAGCGTTTCATTGCAGTCGTCGTAACGTAATGTGGCAGAGGGCAGCGGGAAGGGGCCAGGGGCGAGCAGGGGGTGCTCCCTTTTGAGCGCGTTGCGCTGATTCCGCCCGAGGCGTGGGGCGAGCTACGCACTTGACGAAAAAAGAGCATTAAACAAGGCGTATCAAATTTCATTATTTGTCAGCACCCGGACCGCTTCCTGCTGCCCCCCTCCCCCCAACCTACCGGGGCCCTGCTTCAAATTCAATTTCAATTTCAATTTCCAATTGAATTTTGCATTTTGGAGAAAATCTACTTTGTGATTTGACTTTGACGTGTGCTTCTTTCTCTCTCTCTCTCTCTCTCTCTCTCTCTCAATTTCTCTGCCTTTTGCTTTTCCTATTCCACTTTATTATTTATGTTTTCGCTTTTGAAATCGTTTAATGAGCTGCACAAATTTCGTAATATGCTCGCCGTGGCCTGGGAATTTTTGCTAGTTTTAGCATAAAATTTTTGCTGAACGGCGAGTAAAATGTGAAAAATCACAGAAATCTTTAAATGCAAAAGATTTGATTGTGTCCCTAATGAACTTTGGCCAAAACATCAAAGAGATTCTCGCTCTCACTCGCTCTTTCTTTCGCTCTCTCTGGATTTTTTTTCTATAGCTGAGTCTATAATTATAATGTTAATGAAGTTGATTTTAATAGCTTGATTTTCATTGATGTCAAACTCATGACAAACGGCTGCCCCTTGAATAGCATCAATTGAGGCTTGTTCGAGTGGATAATGCGACAGTTGATATACCAAAGATGTGAGACGAATAGCGGAGAAAACATCAGAGAAATGCGATAGACCCACAGTTGAGGTTATATAATAGCAATCTCGATCGATATGGAGGTCGATATGGATATAGATATGGATATCGTAATCGATATGAATGTGGATATAGATATGGATATCAAAATCGATATGGATATGGATATATATATATATAGATATGGATGAGGATATAGATATGAATATGGATACAAATATAGGTAGATAGATACGGTTATGGATATGGATATGGATATAGATATGGGAATGGATATGGATCTGCATGTGGATAAGAATATCGTAATCGATATGGATATACAAATACAGGTTCAGATATAGATTTGTACATGGATAAGGATATGGGATATAGATATGGGTATGCATATGGATATGAATATAGAAATTGCTATCATAATCGATGTAGATATGCATTTACGTATAAATACATACATATATGGATACATAAAGCGATATACATAAGGATGTTATTTTAGGTATTGATATGGATATGGATATGGGTATGGGTAAAGTTGTGGATAAGAATATAAAGATAGAGGCATGGATACGGATATGGCTATGTGGGTGTACATATGGATATATAGTATGGAGGTGGATAAAAATATAAGTATGGATATGGATAAAAATATGAATGAGATCTAATATATGGATATAGATATGAATGTGTGGATAAGGATAGTAATATAGATATGGGTAAATAAAGAAATTTGTTAAGGATATACATTTGGATAAGAACATGGATATATAGACATATAGATAGATGGATAATCTCACTGGAGCTCGCCATCGAATTGGCAAAGTGAAGAACTTTTTGCTTTTGGCATTAATCAATGCGAAATTATGCGGGACTTTGCATAATAAACATTTCATTGCGCATTCGTTAAATTCAATTCAGATGAATTTTTGTATTTTTATTTTTTTTATTTAAAAATGTTTTTTTTTTCTTTCGATTTTTTTTTTGCCTTTGGTTTTTGTAGCCTCTAGATGGGAATCTAAAAAGGAATTCGAGTGTGTATTATGTGGCACTGGGCGCATTGAAAAGCGACTGGAAATGTTAATCCGCAATGGGAAAATTAATTTTATAAAACAGCTGTGTGTTACACACACACACACACACACACACACACATGTACATGGGAGTGAAACTTTTCAGTCGTCCTGTGGCACATCCTGGGCCCGTTGCATTGCGCTATCATGCGGCAGCGGCAGCGGCAGTGACAACGAGACAAATCCTTTTATAACAGCGAACAGCAGCAGCAACAACAACAACAGCAGCAGCAATGTGACATGAAAATGTGTGAGGGGGAAATGGGAAAATGCCAAGCAAAGAGTTGCTCTGAGTTATGCTTGGGATCGGCCACAAATTTTGACTATTGCTGTTGCTGCGTAATCCCGCTCTCCCTCTCGCTCACTCCCCTTCACTTGCCTAGGTGCCCGGATCAGCTAAAATGGCTGCCTTTTTGTTGTTGTTGTTGTTGCTGTTGTTGCCGACGAGCAACCGCGAAACTTGGTCGGCTGCCGCTGCTTCAACCCCCGACGGCAAAAAAAAATCGAACAGCTGAATCGGAGGTGACAATGGCTTGGCCAGTCCACTGGGTGGAGGGCAGAGGGAGAGACACAGATAGAGAGAGAGAGAGAGAGAGAGGCAAGGCAAGCTCCTGCTTGTGATTTATGACTGCGATGGCAGCCCTCATGCCCCGCACCACGCACCGCGCACCCCGCCCTTGGGCGAGCCGAATGAAAACATTAGGGCGTAAATGTTTGCTCTGTTCTGGTGCAGATAAGCTGCGTAAAATTATTACGTTATTTGTATTGGTTGCAATCAGCAGCCGCCCACCGACCGTCGCGTCGCCCAACCCCTAGACACACGCACACACACACACACACACACACACACACACAGAGAGAGGCCACCCCTACTGCGCGTGTCATAAAGATGCCTATCATTCAATTAATATTTGCCCGGGCAAACGAGTGCGCCGTTAATTTTTGCCATTTGTGAGAAATGATTATTTATGTGCAACGCGGCCAGCCCCCCCCCCCTGCCTCTGCCCGGCCTCGACTGTGTGTGGTAGGTGGAGCCATGTGGGGCCGCAGCCAACTAGTTCTGCCACCGCGCCCTGCCTGCTAATTGAGTTGCTTGGCTTCCTCTCGGCTGTCGGGCCAGGCCAGACAGTTGCATGCAACACTCGATTTTCGTGTTGCTGCCGCTGGCGTCGCTTTTTTTTTTCTGCTTCTTTTTTCTGGTGGCTTTTACGGCTTTTCTAGCTGCAGCTGTAATTCAATATGCGCCACGTTTGTAGGTGTTGCCCCAACACACGGCCACTTGGCACAGTGGGACAAAGCCCAAGCGAAATTTGCATAAATGCCAAGCCTGATGCTGATCTAGTCTATGATAGTACAGAGGCATATATATGGGCATATATCTATAGATATATCTAAATATTCAAGTTAAAGTATTCAAATGATTTTATGATGTAGAAATGAATTTCAGCTATAAATATATATATATATATATATCTATATTCAATTAGAGTAATTAAATGATTCTATCTATTCTATTCCATCTGGGTTTTTCGACAAGTCAATTCAATTCAGCTTCAAGCTTTGCTGGTAGACATCTGAGTAGTGCACATTTCCAATGGTGAACGCGGCACGGTGCAAGCTCTGGCACCGCCTTAAACTAGATGTAGAGAGCTGACAACAGTAACAACAGGAGGATGACTTACAAAGCGCACTGCATGAAGGAGAAGACAAGCAGCGCAGAAGAGACAAGACTGTGGAAAATCTATATATGTAATTGTCAATGCACTTTTCCAATGCCGCCCACGCGCAATGCAACGCCTGCTGACCACCCCTTCCGCTGCCATTTCCACCCGTTCCTCGCGTTCGCTCAGCCCAAGAGCCGTGTGCATTTCAAAAATCAATTGTGTATGAAACGTAACGGCAACTGTCCACATGAGCTGTGTAAAATCAAACGGAATATCCATTCCATTCGAGTCGGTCCTCGGACGGGCCGGTGTCCTGACTGTGCCGCGTTACGTGTCGTTTTTCACTTGCCCGGCCACTGCAGGGGCTTCATGGCCATGGGCCAACGACCGACCAACCGACCAACCAACCGACCGACCGACCGACCGACCGACCGACAGGCAGTCCAGTTCCCTTCGGTACCCTCTTCCCGGTCACGTCCTCGTTCAGTTGTCAGCAGCGGAATGCAAACAAATCAATGAACATGTCAACAGAGCGCACCGAACATGCGGCTGTGTTTACTCTGGGCATTAGGTGACAATTCTATGCCAAATGATCCTCAATAGAGACCCGAAATGTTGTTTCTCGATCGGCGAATGAATGCGGAAGGCCTTGTCGATTTTGGCCATTTGGCAGTTGGGCCGACGGCGCTAGCAACATGTTTGCTTAGGCTGTCAGCACAGCCAGAGGGAGACGGACAGGGAGAGGGAGAGGGAGAGAGAAGGAGCGGCACCTAAGCAAATAGGCAAGAATCTTGGCGCAAATTGAGTTGTTGTTGGCCGGGAAATGCGAATGAGGCAAAAAATTAGCGCAAATTATGCGCTGCTAATGCGCAAAGTAAACTCAAATAAAGCAGCGCACAGCCGTGTGCTCTGTGTCCTTGTGTGTCCTGTTTCCTCTGTTTGGCCAACCCTCCGAGTGATGCGCAGCAAATGCCTTGTGCAAATAGAAAAAAGTCGACACTCATCGTTCATCTTTCCGCTGCTTTTTTCGGGCACATTTGACATTAAAAATATGCCATGTCTCTAGAGTCTAGCCATCACCCTCACTCGCTGCCCCTCTCCCTCTCCCTCTCCCCCCTCTCTCTCTCTCTCTGTGGCCCACTCACATTTCAAATTTCTATTTGCATAGCGATTTTCTTTGGGAAAATCTATGCATTTGCAACGCTCACGCGCTCCCATATGCCATACCAGTTAGACACCAACATACACACACACACACCAACACGCACACACTAACACACTCACATATGGCAAATGGGGCAAATCTGTTGGCTGTTTGTAATTTGTTTGTTTTATGGATTTGGCAACTTTGATTTTCGAGGGCGTCTTTCGGCTCGACATATGCTTAATTAAACAATTGCCACTGAGTCTACGCAGTGCAAACAAGACTTAAACCAGATAAATACACGCACGCACGCATACAGGGAGAGCTTTGACTTGTTCCTCAGAGTCACACACACACACACAGATACGTTTCCAGGCGTTGAGCCATACGAAATCAAAGTCAATTCCAATTGGCAAACATCAATGTGAGCAGCAGTCAGCGGGTCAAGAAATTGACTTCTTTTTATAGGTTATTTAGTTTTAACTTAATTGGAGTTCACAAGACTCTAAGAACTTGAGTTGCAGTTGCAATGGAGCTAAGACAGCGAAAAAGTTAAGAATGCTTGAGATTGCTTAAGATTGCATTGAAGATCTCGAAGCAAAGTGTTGTAGGAATATTAATCTAGCTGATTTAAAGAAGATATGAGGAACCTATATATATATATATATATATAATACATATATTGCAACTTATATAGATATTCCACGAATCTAAAGAGTTTACTCATAGCAAAAACATCGATTCAAAAATAAAAATTCAATTCAAATTGATGTACAGAACTAATTGGGCAAAAGTCTGTGGCATTTCCATAAAAAAGGAGAGTTTATCTTTAATCTCTCGACTAGCATACGAGCTGTTAGCATAATACATTTGAATGACATTGATTCAGCACTTAATATATACAATTAGAAGAGACTATAGACTTGAAACTATACTTGAGACTATAGACTAAAGCATTTCTATAGACTACACACTAGAGTCTATAGAGTTTATGGACTTTTTTTTTATAGCCATTAGACTATATAGCTCAATCCTCAGGTTTGTAAAAGCGTTTACGTATTGTTTTACTTTGACAGCAAACGAAAACATTGAGCCTAAGCCGAAACTCTCTCATAGGCAAAAGACAACAAAAGGTAATTTTCAGTTTTATTATGCGATTTATATAGGCGTCTTGGGTAAAAGGCAAAGCTAATTCCGAGCTTTATTGTGCGATTTATATTGATATCTGTAAAACGAGTAATAAAACTCCAACATGGCTTTGCCTTTTTCGCTTTTGTCTGAATTTCGCTCTTAGTCTTAGAATTAGTTCAATGATAATATTTGAAATATGCACAACAGTTGTGCTGAAATAGGCGAATATACAAATCGAAATGAATTTTAGTTAGATCTATTCTTCTCGAAATACGTCATCAAGTTTGACAAATATCGGGCTATTAGTTTATGAGATGGAGCATTCAGAGTGAAGCCATTTTCGTTGGCGTAGAAGAAAATGAATAAAATGAAAGAGCAAACCCGAATAAATGCTGCAGCTAAATCTTGAGCTGATAGATATTATATATATCATTATTGTTTTATAATCATCTCTCTTTCTCTCTCCTTCTCTCAGTCTTCTAGAAACGAAACGTTTCGTGCTCAACTGCCATTCGATTCGTTAACAAATTGAGTTGAACTATATATTTGATCAAAAGACTCTAGGCTAGTATAAATAGTATATTTAGTCTTAGATATACTGCATTCCACATATCAAGCTGCTATCCCTACTATTCGAATCAAAGAACTCAAGTGACTTCAAGTTGCTTCAGTTATACTACATATATATTCGATTGATCTATGATTCTAGTGACTCTATCTTACCTGTACTCTGGATTCGGGCAAATTGATCTTGAGTGCGACCTCCTCGCGCATGAATATGTCCGGGTAGCGTGTCTTGCCAAAGAGCGCCTCCAAAACGTCGAGCTGGGCCCGTGTGAATGTTGTACGCTCGCGACGCTGTTTTCTCGTGTTGACGCCTGCAAAGATAAATAAAATAGCACGCAAAGAGAGAGAGAGAGAGAGAGAGAAGAAAACAAAATGAAATTAGCCAAGTTTCGATAGTCAGTGAATGCCTAATCAAATGTGCTGAAAGTTCTTGCATTTTTTTTGGGTGGTGTTTGGCTTGGGTCTCGAAGCTCTGGCACATTGCGCATACGCCGCGTGGGCCAAACTTTAATCAACACACACACACGCTTACACACACGCATACGTACGTACTCTCGATGCTTTTCCCAGTATTTTGCCCCCATTTTCCTTTTCTTTTTTTAGTGTGTGTGTTTCTTTTACCGCTGCTGCTGTGGCAAACCGTTATTCTTAGCAACCCCCGTCGAAATGCCAACCCTAAAAAGCATTTGCTGCGCTGAACCAACCCCGCACAGCGCCGTCCAAAAACTTCTTTTGTGTGAGTGTGCATGTGTGTGTGTGTGTGTGTGTGTGTGCGTGTGTATATAATGTATTTTATACATATGTAGTGCGTATATAAAGGCAACGATGTATGTGTATGTGTGTGTGTGTGTGTGTTAAGCCGCGGCATTGTTTGTTTTTGCCGGGGCAGCCGTTGTCAGTGCGTGGCTGCTGCTCGCTCTGCCTTTGTCCCTCTCTCTGCCTCTGCTGCTGCCTCTACCTCGGCTGCTGCTGCTGTCCCAAATATTCATCGTGAGCACCCCTTTTTATGCCGCAATGCCTTTCGTATGCGTACCCCAGCAGCCACTCTGCCTCCTATGCCACTCACTACCCTGCTTGCACCCTCCCTCTCTCTCTCCCTTTCTCTCTCTCTCTCTCTCTCCCTTGTTCTCTGTGCTACTCTATGCCCATCTCTGTTTGGCTCTATCAAAAATTAATGAGTTAGTCATTTTGGTCATGAATTTTTAAATTGAATAAAAAACTTCAACTCAGTTGGCTCGCGCGTTGTCGTTGTCGTTGGCTTTGCAGCTGCCGCTTTTCGTTGTTGCCTTTGCTTCTTGCTGCTTCTTTTTTTTTTTTTTTTGTTATTTTGACTGCTTTCAAAATGGTCGCCGGAGCAGTTGTTGTTGTTGTAGCCTTAAAGCAAAATTAATTGCAATTTGTAGTTTGCCTTTTGCGTTAAATTTTTTTTTTTCATATTTATTTTAAAAATATATATAGATTTTTTATTTATTTATTTATTTTTTTTTTATTTTCGCATTGCCCAAAAGCCTTGGCAGCAATCGCTTATGACTTGTTTCATTAACTGCACCTACATATATTTTTTTAACTGCTTATATTTTGGATTTTCAATTTTTGTCAATGTTTTCGAGTGTTTCTTATATTCGCCTGAATAGCTCGCATAATTAAGCTGTCATTATTTTGTTCAATTACATTTTTAATTAGTTTTTTAGCTAATTTCGCGAATCAGTCAATGACTTGTAGAAGTTTTGCATTTGATCTCAATTATTGAGTAATGCGTTATTTATCTCATTTCTGAATGATTTCAGTTGAGTTCCGGCTTGTCTATATGTACGTACATACATATAAACAGAATAATATATATGTATATATGAAATCAAATATTCATAATATTTATATTCGGAAAGTTTCTGCTATTTTTTGTTTTGTTTTTTTGTAATCAAAAATTTCCATTATTGTGAATTATATATTTATACTATATCAACTTCATTTATTCAAAATCAAAATTCTAGTTTATTATCGCCGCTTCAGCTCGCTCCATTCTCAGCTGCTTATATAACCCGCCTGACAATATCTTCCATCGAGAGATTCTGCTATAACTTGGCTTATTACAAGCGCGACAATGTTAAAGGTAAATAAATCAAAAATCAAAATTGATTACATGCGATTGTTTGTATTATTATCTCTCGCTCTCTCTCTTCCTCTCTCTGTCTCTCTTTCTGTGTTTTCTCTACTTTTTTTTTGGCATTTTGTAGCATTTTTGTCAGTTTTTTGTCATTTGCAGCGTCACCGAAATGAGACAAATAACTGGAACCTGACAAGAAAAACGAAGAGAGGGAAAAAATAAAGCAGCGGACTAAAAAAACTGAAAAAAAAAAAAACTTCGACTCATGCGTTCCCAAGCGCGCTGCGACGGCCACTTTGGCTCCAGCTCATTATTCATTTTGACAATTCAACTGATAATGATGCAATCGATGCGAAACGGCATTGAAAAGCATTTTGTGCGACAACTGAACGGCACACAGTCAACTGCCCCCGATCTGCCTTCCATATATCTATATAGTAGCCATATCTCTGCATTGTCCCAAATCTCGTTAGCTCTCTCTCTGCCGATCGTTCTCTCTCTCTCTCTCCCTCTCTCTCTCTCTCTCTCTTTTGTTCTCTCTTGGCCTGCGCATGCAAATTGAGTTATCAGCCAGCGAGTCTGATGACCGGCCATATATCATTTATCATTCGAGTGGGGCCCGTTTAGGGTCTGGCTCCCACAGCTGGCTTTCAGCACATTTGTTCTTACTCGCTTCTTACGTGAGTTGCAGTCTACCAAAATTGTTTTGCGATATTTACCCCACATACCTTGGGAGAACCCAACAGCCTCCAGTCCGTGTGGCAGGCCGAAGGGACCCAAAGATGGCATCGGCATGCCCGGCGGCAGCGGTCCGTGCGGCACCGAGTGGTGCGGATGTGGTCCGCCATAGCTGTGCGGATGCGGGCCCAAATCTCCCGATTTGAGAAAGCCCGCCGCCATCAAGGCTTCCGTTGAGTGCAGCGCCACGTTGATGCTGTTTATGGTGTACACCCGTTGATGCTTCAATTGGCCAAAATTGATTGACGGCTCCGTGTGGACGTGGGCGTGGGCCTGGGCGTGGCAGTGGCCAAAGCGCCGCTAACAGTCAAATGGCGTTTATCTAGACGAATGAAGAGAGAGCATTGTTAGAAAGTGTTTTAAAAATAGAAGATATGTAGTTGAAGTTTCAAATAGTAAGTGTTATACGTATGTTAGCGATGTATTAGAACTGTTATACTTATAACTATGCAAAAAGAGAGAGTGGAGAAGTGCAGAAATAGGACTAATCGCGAGTGTTATCGAGGTAGAAGAAGAAGAAGATGTGTCAAACTGTAGGAGTTCAAAGAACTGTTATACATGCATTAGAGATATAGTAAATATAACTCTTATACATTTGAATATGCTTAAAGAGAGTGTGGAGTAGTGTAGAAACAGGATAAGTCGCGAGTTTTATCGAGGTAGTAGAAGAAAATGTGACAAACTGTGTATATAGAACTGTTATACATATGTTAGAGGTATAGCATATATATCACTCTTATACATATACTAAAAGAGAGTGTAGTGTAGTGCAGAAACAGGATTAGTCAAGATCGATAGAAGAAGAGGAGGTAACAAACATGAGTATACCTGGAATTCATGGAACTGTTATACATATTTATATATTTATTGAAGACTAGAAATAATACAAAATAGAGACTAAGAATTAAGCACTGGTAAGTGCGGCCTTTGGCTTACTGCTATATGTATATAACAGATATACTAAGTGGAACTGTTATACACATTTGATAGCTATACTAAACAGAACTCTAATACACATATCATAACTATACCGAGCAAGAGTTTTGGGTCATATATCGTTCTAGTTTTCGCTGCCCTTCGCTATCAATATCAAGTAACTCTATGTATTTCATTTAACTGTTTTCTATTCGCTTTCCAATCACTTCAAAATCTCTGCCATATTTGCCGTCTTATGTGCCGGTCCTTGAGCCTCGGCTCTGGCTATAGATGTGGCTGTGGCTGTGGCTGTGTTTGTGGCCTCAGCCTCAAATTGGGCCAGATGTGTTATTAATTTGCGTGTGCGCGTGAGCATGTAATTTGGAAGCGTGGTTGGGGTTCGGCTTTGGACAGCCTCTGCATATACAGATATATATCTCTACCTATACATATGTGTATGTGTATGTAGGGACTCTGGCTCGAGTGGCTGCTGCAATGTTGTATTTGCGGCTTTGGGTTTTGGCTTTGCCGGTTTCCATTTCGCTTGCACTCGGATGCATTGAGCCATGAAAACGACATGACAAAACAAAACAAATTTGCTGTGCTCGGTGCAGGCTACTTTACCCTATATATGTATATCTGTGTGTGTGTGTGTGTGTGTGTGTGTGTGTGTGTGGATTTATATTGGAACAGTCGATGGTCGTTATCGGGTCGGGTATATATGTGACAAATAGCTGGCTGCATTTTCCAATTTCAAAACAATGAGAGACCTCCGAGGTGTCCGTGCTAATCCCGCAATTTCACTGCCTCTCGCTTCTGCGCCTATTTGCCGTCTCATTTGCACTGGGCTCACTTATTGCTAATTTGTATTTTTCGCACGAAACCACCGAAAAATAGAAAGAATAAAAGAAAAAGAATGTGGGACAAAAGAGTTTCGAACTCGTCGCACGGCATATGAGTATTAAGCCAGGTTCAGCTCGAGTTGAAGGCCGAGTTTGGTCCGGCCTAATCTTAATGCCCAAGCCATTGTCCCATCATGCCCAGTGCATGTGTGCGTATGTGTGCGTACGTGTGTGTGTGTGTGCCCATCCCATTTCGTCCTTTTAGTAAGTGTCTTGCCTAATCCAGTGGCTAAGCACAGATCAAAGATCTTTAAACCGCAAGACTGCCCAAGAACTAAGTCTAGGCGGTTCTCCTTTCCGTTCCCGTTCCTCTAGCAAAAGGCGTTATTACACAGTTGGGTAATCTTGCGATGGTAAACTCTAAGCAAGGATCCCTACAACAGGCAACGGGATTTGCCACACACACAGACAATATTTGGGCTAAACTATGGACTAGGCAAACTTTTGTCAATATTTTTGTGGCTTGGGCTGGGTTTCCGAAAGGAAAAATATTCATGTAGGGCTTATCGTAGAACAAGTCTATTCTAAACCTAATGAGCAACTGTGAATGTTAAGATTTTATGTGAGTCTTTATAATATCAACCGAATGCCATGCCATGCCATGCCAGAACTATAGAGTTTTGATCATCATTATACTAATAACAAGTTTAATGATCATAATCATATTTATTATGATGATAATGACCAATCTGTATGCTAAAAGAAACAAAATACATATACTAATTTCCAGTATTTTGTTTTACATATTTCAGTATTAAAATATTTATAGACGGATCTAAAAGTGATATACTGTAATACAGTTTTACTGTTATAG